TCTTCTCTCTCTCTCCGGGTCTCTCTCTCCTCTCTCTCTCCTCTCATTCCTCTCTCTCTCTCGTCTCTTCTCTCTCCTCTCTCTCTCTCTCTTATCTCCCTCGCCTCTCTCTCTCTCTCTCTCCATCTCTCTCTCTCCTCTCTCTCTCTCTCTCTCTCTCTCTCTCTCTCTCTCTCTCTCTCTTCTTCTCTCTCTCTCTCTCTCTCTCTCTCTTTCCGGAGCCCTCGGGGATGGAGTCCGACGTCACCCTCAGTACTACCCAGTAGGAATACATATCTAATCCTCGATGAGAGTCGACCACGTCACCCTCAGTATACGCGGTACCATCAGTGAATACATAATCTAATCCTGGCGATTTTAGTTATAAAGGAAGGTGCAGAACCCCCAATGTACGCGGGGTAGCAATCGTGAACCACCTATGCTACCAAGAAGTGGCGCTCGAACACTCAGTGATGCGAAGGAAGGGGATGTCAGTAAACTGTTCTTGTTACCGATAGTTTCTATGGCGTATGACAAACAATGGTACTTGTATGACAAACAGTACCAGTAGATGAAGTTATCGCTGTATGTGTGTTATGTTATCTCCCTTTTAAACCACATTTTATATTCGTTTATATATGCATATTGTAAGCTGAATGCTGCGTGCGTTGCAGAGTGATTCCGGCGCGGTGGCGAAGCAGCTCGGCTCTCGGCGGCATATACAATCTCTCTCTCTCTCTCTCGCTCTCTCACTCTCTCTCTTCTCTCTCTCTCTCTCTCTCTCTCTCTCTCTCTCTCTCTCTCTCTCTCTCTCTCTCTCTCTCTCTCTCTCTCTCTCTCTCTCGCTCTCTCCTCTCTCTCTCTCTTTTCTTTCTCTTTCTCTCTTCTCTCTCTCTCTCTCTCTCTCTGTTGTGTGTGTGTGTGTGTGTGTGTGTGTGTTTTATGCGTATACTCAAGCAAACAAACAGACATAGATATAGGACTGTCTCTCTCTCTCTCTCTCCCTCTCTCTATCTATCTATCTATCTATCTATCTCTCTCTCACTATGTGTGTGTGTCTTTTATGCTTATACTCAAGCAAACAAACAGACGTAGATATAGACTCTCTCTCTATGTATCTATCTCTTTCTCTCTCTTTGTTTCTCTCTTGTTTCTCTCTTTGTTTCTCTCTCTCTCTCGACATCGTTAGTTAAAATCTAGGGGGATATTCGCCGCATTCTCTTCGTTCCGATTCTTGTATCTTGATAGGCCTCGGTTTGTATTCCCTTTAAAAAAAATTCAACGGCATTAAATATTTCACAACATAAGATATTATAGGATCAACATCGTGATTTGGATACTCTCTTTTGTCCTTTGCCAGTAAAATTCCTCCTCGGGCTGCCATCTTTTAAATCCTAATACTCGTCGTTTGAATGCCTCCAAAGGGCTTCGCAGGTAAGTATTGGAAAACTTTTGACACCCAACCACATACTGTGCTCTTCCCTTATTGCTTCACTTACGATGTTCTAGATGGAAAATAGTAAATGATAAAGTTATACTTACGATGTTCTAGATGGAAAATAGTAAATGATAAAGTTGAAACCGAGTACTTACGATGTTCTAGATGGAAAATAGTAAATATTGATGGAAAATAGTAAAATATTGATGAAATTTAAAACCGAGTACTTACGATGTTCTAGATGGAAAATAGTAAATATTGATGAATTTAAAATCGAGTATTCTGGAGGATATCAGATTGCCATTACCTTTTTGACACTATCAGACACTATCGGCCCAGCTGATGAACTCACGCTGCTGAACCGAAAGTTCCTTAATTCATAAAATACATTGCGATTGGAAATATACCTGAATTGCTAAAATGTAATGGCAGGAAAATAAATACCACATGAATACGGATTATTTTGGTCAACTTTTTTATATTTAGAATGTTATTTCTTCTCCTCGAGCTCAACCCACACTAAACATCCCACGTCCAAGAGAGGCTGAGTTGCAGATACGGCCAAAGCTATCTGTACTCTCATTGGAAAGACATCCTTATCACCAACCTCCACTAACGAAATATGCAAATAATACCTCTTGTCTAAATAGTCTACTTCACATCCTTATCACCAACCTCCACTAACGAAATATGCAAATAATACCTCTTGTCTAAATAGATAACGTTCACATTCTGCCTTATCAGACCTTAGATCAAACGCACGCAAAAGAAACTATAAATTGCCTCTATCAGACGTTGCAATCTCCACGTCAGAAGAAGAGCCAGACGCCCCAACGTAATCTCGACCGAAGCCGATATCCGGGCTTCAGGGGATCCGTTCCGAGGGAAGAGCAAGAGCCAAAAGGGAGGCGGAAGATCAACACATAACGTTCTCCTCATTCGGATTCCTTGATGAATTCACTCCTGGATGCACGAACGAGGGTAATAATAGGGTTAATGATTGTGTCAGTGTTGGTAGTGATGAATTTCATTATGATTATGATTATCATTGTTGTTGGGGAACTCCACAGAACTGGCGATGGA